CTTCGAACGATTTATGATAGGGATAGCCTGCGTGAGGTCTAAGCGAAAGGTGGTTTATGAGAGTCCAAGTGTGGCGATAGATGATGGCTATTGACTTGGAGTCGTATGGTCATCAGATGTCGCAGGGCTGTGTGTTTTGTTAGTTCCTGAGATTGTAGAAAAGGATAGATAGATCGTTATTGAATTGCTTAGTCGAATAGGGACGTTGTTCCTGGAGGATCTGGCCACGTAGTGGGGAGGCAGGGATGCCTTTGGTAAGAGGACTGAGTTTGACCTCTCGGCACTTACCCCAGCACCTTAATTGGGAACGCATCTCTTTTTGACAAAGTATCTAACATATTAAATGCAATAACAGATGATATTAGGTAAATAAAAGGCATACATTAAGTTATGTTTCTATTTACTTGCCAAATACTACAGTGAGATCCACACATTATGATCACGTTCGGACTTGTCATTTTTTGTAATAACATTGATTGATGACATTAAACAATTGATGAAAAGTTTGCATTATTGAATTCAAATTATGATAAACAATTATAATATTTGCACGATACATATTTGTCGCAATATAATATACTTAACACAAAATTACATTTTTGTACATAAAAGTAAAAATCTGCAACTGTTCGTGATTGTTGTTCGCGTGCTAAGGTTAAAATTAATTTTCAAAGATAAGAGTTCTTTAGTGCAGTTCTACAAAGGATTCTTATCGTTTATCCTCAACTGTAGCAATCATAGCTGATAACAATACTCGAAATTTGATCCTAACTGTTGAATTATTTTTAATTTTACATAGAATGTTTTATGATCGATGAATAATGAGAGCAACAGCCGATTGAGAATATTATCCGTGATTATAATAATCGAATCCCAATCAATAGTGAGTTCGTAGTAATACATATAAACCAATATTTATCTCGTATATAACAGATTTTAAGGAAACTCCTATACCAGTGTTTTGTATTTATATTATTTTTGTGAAAATTTAAGTGAATTCATTTTATTAAATGAAGCGCTATACTATTTTTTAATGTCATGAATTGCATATATCGAGATGAATTCATTCAAGGTACATGTCTTCAACGCCATTCAAAGACAGAAATGAAAGAACCAAATTGAACATTCCATAATATTGTATTTATTAAAATGTTGTCACTACAAATTAATAGAACTACGTATCACAAATTAGAATATTTTAAAAAGAAATTAAAAAAGAACTTCAAAAAAATTTGATGTACAATTTGATCTGTTTAATTTTCAAAAATGAATTTGAATAATATAATTTATTACATTACATATGCAATGTATTCAGTAATGTATTAAGATAATAGAAATTAACAGAGAATCAATATTTAAAACATACAATGATTATACTTTGTATACATATGCATTAAATTTATTGTACAACGTATTTCATTTAAAATAATCCTCTTGAATATTTTTTAAAATATATTCTTTTTTCATACAGATTAGTTTTTCGAAACATTCTGCATAGAAAAAACATTAGGATACAATGTAAAAAAATACACGGTTTGTGAAATAATACAAATTTTAGTATAAAATGTTCCAATTTTAAATTTTATTTTTCATTTGAAAAATCATAAAACACTTTTATATAACCTTTATTCATCCACCTACATAGAAACTTCTTATATCAAATAATATTATTTGCATTTAAAACCATTCACCTTCCGTATGAAATATTTATTAATGTCTTCAACTGTTTCAAATATATTTGAAAGAATTAATTTCAATAAAACATTGTGCATATTTAATATACATATGTATTATTTTTTTTTGAGAATGTTATTGAATGTAATATGTAATATAGTTCAGCAAACCATATATTTACGAGGTAAACATTGACAATTTTAATTTCATATGACAATTTATTTCACGATTTTCACACATATCTAATATATTAATCGTATGAAACAAAAAAAGCATCAATTTGTACATTAATATAAACTAAAACATTTAATCAAGTGCAAATATGTATCATTCTTTAAACCTACACCATATGAAAACATTTGTATTTAAAAAGTTATTAGATGCTACGAATTTTATATTAAAAAGAACTTGCATTTATATGAAGTGAATTAATTCAAAATAGTGATTGCTAAGAAGACGGAGAGGAACAGAAGTTAGAGGCCAAACTTGAGCTTTCAATTACTTATGGCTTACATCCAAAAACTTCGAACATTAAACATGGCAATACGAAGTGTTAAATATGACAATATAAGCCGTAAAAGTCTGAAGTTTGACATACTTATGACTTATTGTTATGCGAGAATTGAACTATTTTTTAACATATAAGAATATTAGCTTTAAATGTTTTTGTAATCAAAGTTTCCTTATTGAATTATTTTGGGCATATAATACCAAGCCAATAGTAATAAACGAGCAAAACGTTTGTTAAAAATGATTTAATAGTAAACAAGAACGATTTTTTGAACCTATTCAATTTAAACAAAAAAAAATATTTAGTGTATTAGTGATATGTAAATAACAGCATCCGATGTAATAATAATGACACTTTAATTTGAAGTAACTCAATGAATAGATATAGCATCCACTTGATTAGTTGCATCACAATTCTATTTCATTTTGTACATTGCAACTTTATCGTTATTTGACGATAATTAAACGAATAAATTAATATATCATTATTTAACAAATATTTATCATAAAAGATTTTTAATCGTGTGGTATCGATTAACTACGAAAAAATTTACTTATTATGATAACGATATGGTTGAAAATTTAACACATGTTGTTGACCTCCTCTTCAATTTTTGTATCATCCGTAATTTATGAATATTGATCAAAATAAACTGTTAACGCACATGATTAATTACTGTGTTATAGAAAGAGCATCTAGATTAGCCAATAAGCCTTTGACATTATCTTGAATTTGATCAGGTGGATTATTTAAAGACAAGCGTGAACAAAAGGTACTTAAGGTATCCATTTTTTTGTGGATTACTTTCTGTTTTAGTAAATATCCCAACAACATACTTTTTACATTCTCAACTTCTTCTCTGATTCTCAGCATATCCTCTCCCTTACAGTTCTGTAACAATTTCAATTTTGTCCGTGCCAATTTTAATGGATTGTAACATTCCTGATCCAAAGATAACAGATCCGTCCCCGCATTTAACAAAAGTGTAACCACAGATATTTTACCAGTCACAGCAGCTAAGTGCAATGGAATGTTACCTACACAATCACGACGATTAGGATCTGCACCATGTTCTAATAATAAACGTACTATTTCTGTGTAACCCCTGTCAAATGAAGATTATTGCATGTATTATTATAGCATACTAATATTAAATAATATTCATAATTGTTTATACTTTTGTAGTATGTAAAAGATTACATATTCATATTTTATGAAATTTATAATTTATTCATTAAATAATATAAATATAACTACAGATTAGATATTATTTGTTGAACTTACCTGCAAGATGCAAGATGAAGAGGAGTTCGTCCTTGTTCATCATGATTGTTAGGTGAAGCACCACTGTCTAACAAGTGCTTCAACATAATAGTATTATTTGTGGCTGCTGCAGCTCTCATTCTGCGTTCAGTAATAGAATATCTAGGGCCATTCCAAAGAACAGGATTATATCTAGGTGACATATGCACTGCTCTTATTTTTCTACGAACAATACCTATAAAAAGAAACAAGAAAATATCATTATGAAAGTTCAATTATACTGGAACAAAAAGATATACATGAATTATAAATATATCTTAGAATTTACAAAATTAACTTACTTTTTTTTGGTAATGTTGCATATTTTGGTGGTGGTGTAATAAACTTATATGAAACCTGTAACATATCAACATTTTACATGTGAGCTGTCCATTATACTTGTTATATAATAAAAATATTTGTTTATATACTATAAATTTTATAAAATTTTTGCAGGGATTAACATAAGATAAAACTGCATTTATTATTTCAATACATTTTCTTCAATTTTAAGTTACTCAACAACAGATCAAGAGTAAATTAAAATATACAAGTATACAAACAACATAGCATCGACTGAAAATATTATTGAAGATATCATTACTATCAAGGACATGTCACAATACAAAAAAAGATACGTACACTTGAGGAAGGAATTATTAGTCCTGAACTACTTGTAGGTGTAGAATGTTCAATTTCTTCGGGATATTTGTAATTTTCATTTATTGAAACTAAAGATGGAAGTGATAAACGAACACCTGGCGAACACTTCAACCAATCCGATCCGATTTCAATACGAAGATTTTCTGGTTTAGTGTCACGTATATCATTTTGAGTACTGCTTATTGTTGCAACAGCTGAACTGACGGTGTTAATTTCATCTGTTAACATATCTTCATTTTGAGCAATTGAACTATCGTCCGAATTATTACTCGTTTCAATTCCTGAGTCCACAGATGTCATTTTACATTTAAACGTTCACCGACGTTTTAGAAATAAAACGCTTCACCTCTTAAATCCAACTTACACCGTGTATGTACGACATACTACGTGCGTGCTATGATTGTCTGTACGAAAATAATAACAGATTTGAAGTTTGTCACTGATTAGAGGTTTGTCACTCTTCGCCACCTTCTTTACAAATAAAGTTCTTTAGTTTCTATGATAAAAATATTTTTTTCATAAAAAACAAATAAATAATTTCTAGTTTCTAACTTCTATTATTGTTAATAGTATTTGAAAAGTGTAAGATGATTTTATTAATAAATGCAACATTTTTTATTTAATATAAACATATAATGTCAATTATTAAATAATTATAAAATATTTTATTTTTATAAAAATATAAAATTGTATACAAATTTGAAATAGAAAAAATATGTCTTATAGACTATGTTTCCATCGAGGGTCCAAATCGGGTCAGAGTCGGGTTAGAGTCGGGTTTGAGTAGCGGGTTGGAGTTGCGGCAGGGTTGAACATTACCAACTGCACAAAGTCAACTACCATATTCTGACATGTAAAAGAGAGCAATATTAATTTTACAATATCAAAATAACATACAAAAATTATTTCTCAGATTACAAGATCACCGACAAAAAGTAATAGTAACCTCTTCTACACCGATTAATACAGCATGTGATACACAATGCAATTTGGGTTTGTTATGTTGGCAACACGAACTCGACTCTTGTCGTTTCCACCGAACCTCAACTGAACGCTACCCTAAAATTTTGTAGGGTAGAGTTCAACTAAACCTTTGGCGTTTCCACCGTACAAGCGCTGACCCCAACCCGACTCTAACCCGACTCTGACCCGATTTGGACCCTCGATGGAAACGTAGTCATTGTTGCGTTTTACCGTTCGCGGTCTAGGGATTTTAGGATGTGGGTAAGTTAACCCGTGGAGCGCTGAGCGCTCTGCTCGCGGTGTGTAGAAATCTAAGTCCAACTATTTATTCAGATAATTGTCAAAATACTTTTTACAAGAGCGAGCTGAAGCGTATGAAATACAAAATTAGTCTGATCGTTCTGCAAAAGATTTAATATTTAATGCGCGAAATTTTTCCATGTTCTATAACCACATACATCAGAAGGTTGTATTAATCCAGTAGCGATTTTTTAATACTTAAAACTGTCAAAGTTTTATTTGGCGATATGATATTCCTTATCAAAATTTAAAAAAATTAAAAAATTATTAAAAAAGTGGTATTTTCAAAGTTTTCCAACCTAATAATATATATCTTACAATCGTAAAGCAATTCTTAATCAACAGATGTAATTCCTTTAATTGCACGTATTCTACATCATTATGAAGATATTACACTTCGCACAAGTACAATTTACGCGTTAAGATCCTCCGTGCGTCGAATACTGCCACCAGTACGCGCCCATAACGCGGATCAAATGCGATATCTGACTCAAACGGCATATTTTTATACAGGCACCTTTGGACCTTCAAATTCTTTTTTTAAATAAGTTAGTGTAAAAAATGTAATATAATACAATTTCCAGAATATTGCGTATAGAAAATATCAAAATAACATACAAAAATTATTTCTCAGATTACAAGATCACCGACAAAAAGTAATAATAACCTCTTCTACACCGATTAATACAGCACGTGATACACAATGCAATTTGGATTTGTTATGTTGGCAACACGAACTCGACTCTTGTCGTTTCCACCGAACCTCAACTGAACGCTACCCTAAAATTTTGTAGGGTAGAGTTCAACTAAACCTTTGGTGTTTCCACCGTAAAAGCGTTCACCCCAACCCGACTCTAACCCGACTCTGACCCGATTTGGACCCTCGATGGAAACGTAGTCATTGTTGCGTTTTACCGTTCGCGGTCTAGGGATTTTAGGATGTGGGTAAGTTAACCCGTGGAGCGCTGAGCGCTCTGCTCGCGGTGTGTAGAAATCTAAGTCCAACTATTTATTCAGATAATTGTCAAAATACTTTTTACAAGAGCGAGCTGAAGCGTATGAAATACAAAATTAGTCTGATCGTTCTGCAAAAGATTTAATATTTAATGCGCGAAATTTTTCCATGTTCTATAACCACATACATCAGAAGGTTGTATTAATCCAGTAGCGATTTTTTAATACTTAAAACTGTCAAAGTTTTATTTGGCGATATGATATTCCTTATCAAAATTTAAAAAAATTAAAAAATTATTAAAAAAGTGGTATTTTCAAAGTTTTCCAACCTAATAATATATATCTTACAATCGTAAAGCAATTCTTAATCAACAGATGTAATTCCTTTAATTGCACGTATTCTACATCATTATGAAGATATTACACTTCGCACAAGTACAATTTACGCGTTAAGATCCTCCGTGCGTCGAATACTGCCACCAGTACGCGCCCATAACGCGGATCAAATGCGATATCTGACTCAAACGGCATATTTTTATACAGGCACCTTTGGACCTTCAAATTCTTTTTTTAAATAAGTTAGTGTAAAAAATGTAATATAATACAATTTCCAGAATATTGCGTATAGAAATCAATTGTGCACCGAACGGAAGGTATAAAATGTACGTATAACTTCAACGACAATAATATTTTTTCCACAAGCGAAATTAAAAATTCCAATTTATCCGTATTTTGTCTTTTGACCTAGCTGGATCCTGGATCCTCCCTCAGGATCATCCCTTGTCCAATGGTGGAGGAGTTCTCCGCCGTCCGATGTGGGCCCCTTCTCCTGGCTGTGGTCCACCCTCAGCCGCGTGGTGGTGGAGGCACTCCGCCAAGACGCGGGAACGTAACAGAGCACATGTGCTTAGAGAAAACATGAGACCTAGAGAAAACGGAAAACAACAAATCCTTGTACTAGCTGTCACAGACGCTGATAATGCGGATTCCTCAAACGCGGGGAATCAGCATATTAGGAATATACAAAACGCGCAGCGGCGCGATAATAATAATATACGCGAAACGAACTGTTCACCGATTATTTACTGACCAGTGGTAGTTAAGTATTTGTGTTTAGGAGTGTTTACCCAAAATTTATTTGTATAACTGTGAATAAAAAAAAGTAGTATTTGTCGTTGACGAACTATCAACGGCAAATCATTTCTTTTTTAAAAAAGTGTTCTTTATTGAGGACGTGACATAGCGAAAATTCAACCCTCGAGAAATTGACGACGGGAATATTTGTAGAAGATTTCGAAGCTTTCAAGAACCGTACGTGAGTTAGTCGAAAACAGCGAATTTGATACGGTCCCTAATAAATTAATCCTTAAAGAATTTCGAAGTGAAGCTATGTTTATTCTCTAGATTCCCAAACTTTTCCTAGCATGAACACCTACGTCGAGTGGCTTTGACAATATAAGCTTTGTCCTGTCAAAGTTTTATTTGGCGATATGATATTCCTTATCAAAATTTAAAAAAATTAAAAAATTATTAAAAAAGTGGTATTTTCAAAGTTTTCCAACCTAATAATATATATCTTACAATCGTATAACAAAATACAGACGCGCTCTGTAAATATTCTCATGGCCGTGTCGCCATACTACACTGACTATATTCAGGATGATAACCAGTATGCTCGCGTTACAGTATATTCTTTGCCGAATTTACAAAATTATGATTCGAAAAGTTTAAAAACTTTTGAGAATTGGGGAATTCAACAATTTGAGAATTGGGAAATTCGGTAATTTTAAATTCAGGAATTTACAAGTTTAATAATGTAAAAATTTGACTATTTGATGACTTAGAAGTTTGTGAATTTAAAAATATAGGAAAAAATGTGACAAATATTATACTTATATAAATTTGAAATATGAAGAAGATATGATCAATTTTTATATTATACAAAAATATAGAAATTTTTCTGTGTTTCATTTATCATTAGTTCGAATGAGACAGAATGATTCTTTTATGTACTATATTTTTGTTCACTGAATATATGTAGAGCAAAAGGGATATGATAGTGGGACAACACCATCATGTGGAGAATTCACTGAAGTTAGCTTCATTGCGCAAACTAAGGATGTGTGATATGATAATAATGTCTGTATATATTCCGTAACAAAAAGAATAATCGGTTTCTTGTGAAGGATTAAAGTGAAATTTTGTTGTGGATAATTTTTAAAACTTTTATCAAATAAAAAAAAAATGTTATTACATGAAGTAATGTTAAAATTTCGTGTTAATCATTGTGCATGTTAGTAGGCAACCAATATTCAAGTTTCAATAATTAAATTGTCAGAACTATTACTTGTTATTATTACAGTAAAACAAATTGGCGAAGAACTAATTAATTAATGTTTCAGATTTTATTACTTCTATGAATAGATTTCACACATCTTCCACTACGTGTTTAGATCAAGGATGGAGGCGAACGTAAGATTAAATCCTATAACACATGTGTAATTATACTTGTAGTTCGAATTAATATTTGAAAATCATAATATTTAAGTACTTATTACTTGATATTATTTACAAATATAGTAGTAACATATACTTGTAAAAATAATAAAAAATCTATAGCTGAAAAAGCATGATATATTATTAATAGTTTGAGACCGAATACTATAAATTTATTCCCTGTTAGAAAAACTGTATGTTTCGAAAATACAGAAATATATATTTTTATGGAATTTAAAATGTTAAAATGTTAAATTCATGCAATCAATGAAACACAATAAATAGTAAGATTAAACATTCGTAACTTAACAAAGGAGTTGTTTCATAAAAGAAAAGTACATTTTAATAGTATGCATTGGCTAATTAAAAATATATATTTAAGATTATATATAAGAAACCAATCTCATTATAAAATCAGAAAAAGAATTAAAATAAAAATTAATAGAAATTAAAGTTAAATAACATCAGAGAATGTAATAAAGAATTATTTTTAATATGATAAAATAGTTACAAATTACTACATAGATTGAACCTTCTGAAATAGGAAAAATGTAGTCTGAAAATATATAATATACTCTGGTATTCAATATTATTACTTCAACTTCTTTCTGCGTGAGAAAAGAGGATAATACAATTCTTATCATAATAGATGAAAGAACTATATTGTAAGACAGAATGCATCATATGTTTTGAAATTAGATTTTTAATATTTGGAAAGGCCTTATATAGAAAGATCAAATAACACAATATTAATATCGTAAATATGTTATTATTTTAAATATTTTTGCAAAACAAGTGTTTAACATTTTGTTTCCTATTTTTATACATATGTAAGTGGAAGTTGAAGATTTTGGTTTTTTGATTATAAATTTTGCAAATATTAGCTGTTGTAACTTTCATTGTATCTTATAAATTTGATGGTTTTAATGAGTAGGAATAATTTTGGCCTTATGAATTAAACAGAAAAAATAGTTTTCAGTAATATGATTACACAAGTTGTTATAAATGTTCTATTTGTTTATTTTTCTAACTATAGGTAAAGGTAATTTCCTAAGCTATTAAGTGAAATTCAGTACTTTTTTCTCCTTAAATTTGTATTCTTTTAGGAAAGTCAGATTAAGTTTCATAATGCTATGACTTGTCAAAATAAAATTATAAATCTAGAAAGATTGTAGTCTTTGCGCTTAAAGTAATTATTACATTAATATTATTAAACATAAAACTTTAAAAAGTAAAAAATTTAAAAAGTGTAATTCAGAAAATCATCACCAAGTAAACTGTAAATGTAATTATTTAAAAACAATTATTTCCTTTTATGATCTGACTCATTAGTTCAATCCAGTTTCAGACATTAAAATTTCTTTGTCCATTCATATATAAATAACACATTGATCTATCACAGATATAATAAATAATTAATAGAGACAAACAAATATATAACTAAAACTAAGAAGAAAAACAAACAATTAATTATTTACAACGTAATAAAAACATTATATTTTTAGTATTCAAGATTTCTTGTAATATTTTATCGTGTTTTCGACAAATATAATCTCATAATAATTATTATATTCTTTTACTCTCCACTATTACAGCCTATGTAAATGAGGTTGGCAATATAATAAATGAGTTAGACCAGGCCTGCTGAAGTAGGAGAAGTGAATTTCAACATGTTTTGTAATTGTACTGCTCTTTTCAATTCTATTTCTCCAATTACAGTTATAAGAATTTTACTATATTTTTTTCTCGCTGAAAGAAAAAAACCCCTAAATGTAGTGTTAAAAAAAGCAGTGTAATACATGTTCTGAGATTTTCTATCCTCCTTAAGCAGACATGAATTAGCTAAATAAGATTTGTAATAACTGTTTAAATATATATTATGATGCCCGAATATTAATACAAACTACTACAGATTGAATGCAAAAGTTCATATCATTATAATTGCAGGAAAGGTTTAGTAACAAATCCTAATACAGCTGGACCATTGCTTAATTCACAAGATTATTCATTTGAAGATAAAAGACCTACTCCTTATGGTTCGGGGCAATTACGTCGTATACGGAAACATCAAGAATATGCGGTATATTTGTTTGAATAAGTTTGTTTAGAATATTTAAACTGAAATAATAAAACTAAAAAAATATATGAATTTCAGAGAAGGATTATTCAACTAGTTTATGAAGTTGATTTTGCAGTTGAACGACATGCTAAATTATTGAAAGAAAAAGAAGAACAAAGACAAAAAATTCTGGATAGCAAATTGAAACCTAAAGGAGAGAAATTAATCGCAAGTACATAATGGTCTTGGTCCTATTTCATATGTATATAAGTAAATACAAATAATAACATTATTATGCAATGATATTGTATTTATTTTATTCTTAAAACTACTAGTGGTGCGTATTTTAAATGGAAATAAATTAAACTTTTAAAATTAATATAATAGTCTATTTACAGTCATTGTTTTATTGAAGTTGGTAATCATCTGGATATTTTATAAGCCGAGGAATTTTATCTTTTTCTTCTGGTTCAATTTCATGTAATCTAACTGGAACAAGTCTTAATTGTTTAATTTGATTAGTAACATTGTTTAACATATCTGCAGGTACATTTTCATCAGGGAAAATATGTAGTCTTTGCATAGTTTGTCTTCTTTGCAAATTTCCACGCATTGAACTATAAACTGCTTTTTTTACAATCTATAAATAAAGAAATACAATACTTCTTATAATTTTGTTTAAAAAATATTAATTAACCATTTTATATCACTTACCATAGTAGGATCTTTACTATGTAATTCCCATGCTAATGTCCAAGTTGCACCTCCATGATACCCAGTATGATGAAAATACACACGTTTTTGCCACTCATCTCCACGTAATGCAATATGTTTACTATTTATAACTATTACGTGATCACCACATTCGTCTACAACAAAATGCAAAGTAAGTTATATAATCGAGAACAATTACAAAATAAATGTATTAAAACGTACTTTGTTCAACTAAAATAATCTCCATTAAATATTCTTGTTTCTACTATAAGTACTCAAAAGCTAAATTTTGTAATTTGTTAATTTAAAAGTTATAATTTATCAAAAAAGGTAAGCATTATAACACAAACAGTTGTAAAATCAGCAGTTTTTAAAATTCTGAAAAATCTTTTATAATACATTTATTTACAACTAAAGACTGCAATATTCATGTTTCAATAAAATTTAAAATGCTACTTCAAGAAGGAAGTAATCCCCTGGCAAAATATTGTTAATTCTGTACAATAGCTTTAATCTCCATTGACTACTTCTCTTTAATAATTTATCCAAAAACTTATAATATTTAAGATATTAATATAAGAAAATTTAAAACATATTAATATTCATAAGATATTATATATATGTGTGTATTTGTAATTAAGTATCCTTACTCAGTGGATGATATATGGGTTTATATAATCCCATAAGATGCTGTTTTATCCAGGGTGCACTAATATATGGATCTTGCCAAGCTGCATCAAAAATATGCCATATACGTGCAAAAGTACCCCATTGCTAAAAGTTAAACAAGTAAGCTATAATGATTAAATGCATAAACATATTAAATAACAAATTAAAACAAGATTTCAAATTAATATAGTTAATATATGGTAACAGTATTAATATTAGCAAAATTTTTAATATAATAGCAAATCTATTATAAATACAGGTTACAATATTGCAGTAATATTGATAAAATAAAATTAACTACATTCATGAGACCATTTATTCTTATTATTATTATTTACTTATGTTATTATTTATTTTTATAATTACTTTATAAAGTAAAAAGATCTGTACGTGCAAATGAACATTTATTTTTTAAGGATAAATAAACATAAAATATAAGTTTATTCTAAAAAGGCTTACTTGTCCTCTACGAATAAGAGACATTATAGTCAATATTAAAAATTTAATATCAACATACAATAATAAGATTGAAGTTTTTGAGTTTGGTTATAACGTTTATAAATATACAATTTTCTTTATAGGTTAAGTATTATACTTCATGCTCAGTTAAATAAGAGCATAGGAGATCATATTTTATTTGTGTAACTCAGCTAATTTCAGTTTACTAGTCACCATCTGTATCAGCTTTACATTGGTCGAGAACAAAGTTACCCTAAGTGTTGAAATCTTTGGGAAAAATTAGGGATTGTTTTTATATATACAGTTACTATTTTTCATTTTCCTATGAACTTATATTCTTAATTTTCACTAATATTTTTTCTTTTTCAAATTTTCTTATTTTTATTAAAAATTTTCTATGACTACCGATAGTGTGTAAAATCACTGACTACGTTTCCATCGAGGGTTCAAATCGGGTCAGAGTCGGGTTGGGGTGGACGCTTTTACGGTGGAAACACCAAAGGTTTAGTTGAACTCTACCCTACAAAATTTTAGGGTAGCGTTCAATTGAGGTTCGGTGGAAACGACAAGAGTCGAGTTCGTGATGCCAACATAACAAATTCAGATTGCATTGTGTATCACGTGCTGTATTAATCGGTGTAGAAGAGGTTATTATTACTTTTTGTCGGCGATCTTGTAATCTGAGAAATAATTTTTGTATGTTATTTTGATATTGTAAAATTAATATTGCTC